CCCCAAAACCCCAAAACCCCAAAACCCCAAAACCCCATTTTATTCAGCCAAGATTGTATTTTGAGAAATTAGGATTACTGATAGGTATGGAAACGATAGTTCAAAGTCTTATTTGGCATTGTAGAGTTGTTATAGCTACTTGACCCATTATTGTCGTTCTTATTCTACATATTATTCTAGTGTGCTTACAAAAGTCTTCTGGATTGCTTTCATTAAAGTATTGCTGTTGCTGTGTCCAATTTGGTTATTTCTACTCCGATGAACCTTTTGCTTTGGCTCAATTTGGGTAGTCAAGACTCGGTCTCTCTTCGCGAAACTATTTTTCTTCTTCTGGAAGATATTTGGATCAGCATATCGCACTTTTCATCTCTTCCTAGTTGTACTAGCTTCTTTAGATACTTCTGCTGAATGTTTAGATACATACGAAAGATCATTTCTATTTGGCTCATACTCCCTAATTTTGTTATTTTTCTTCTCTAATTCTCATGGTTTATTTGCCCTATATAATAATACGAACTGGTTACAGCTTTGACTATTGATCTGAGGAGCCCAAATTTCTCTGGCTTCTTGTCCTTGATTTCAAATTTTCATACATGTTTCTGTACCTTAGTTGGTGAATCTTTAGACTCTTCATCATCATTTTTTTCGTTCAATTCAAATGATTTAAAATTAGTAAAGCTATCTACGAAGAAGGAGTCGAATTTTTGTTCCTCTCTATTTGGTTACAAATAGGACAGTACTTAATATCACGGTCGATGAATGACTCACTGATCATGTACTCTGGGATCTATAGGTTAGACTAGGTTGTCCTTACCTTTCCTTCCTCGTATTTTGTGATGGGCCTCCAGACCCCAAATTGTTTCTTTGGGAAATTTTTAGTAAAGCTTTCTACTATAATCTCTTTGATACGGTCATAATCTGGAGATTCAGAGTAATTTAGGTATCTGATCTCGTTGTAGATTTTATAGAACACACTTGGATAGCCTAAGAAAATTTCCTTTGGCTCCAATTTTTTCTTTTTGTTAATAACATAGTCTTTCTTAGCTTTTGAATCTTCAAACTCCATATCTTCTGATGGAAGCCAAGGGAGAGCTTTTAGTAAGTACATTACGGAGTACAAAAGACTCTCTATATCATCAGCTAAAGTGGGATATCCACCCTTCAGAACCCTTATCGAGCAAAATGAGATCGATCCCTTGAAAATAGAGTGAGCTGGCTCTTCTAGGGGTTCGTCATTTTCATCAGTGAATTTCTCAGAAAGTGAAAAATCTATCAAGTAAACAGTTTTGTAATCATCTTTGCAACCGATCATCAGGTTCTCAGGCTTCAGATCTCAGTGGATATATCCTTTATTATGAACTTTCTGGATTAAGTCAACACACTGATACATTATGTTCAAGATAGAGTTGAGCCCAAGGGAGTTCCCATTTATCTAGATCATTAGTAAATAAAGCATTAAGGTTTTATTTAGAAAAAGGAAGACTAGACATACCTTTTTCAAATCTTTAAGAGTAAGCCCACACAAAGTCATTGCAACTCATTGAAGCTCATTCTCGTTGAAGGTGGTCACAATTTTTGGGAATCCACTTTCACTCTGCAGCTTCTTCAGCACCTCGATTTCTTGAGTTTTGGTCTGCATGATCTTTAAGGCGATCTGCTCCTCAGTATTATCCTTAACTATACGGAAGACAGAGCCGTGGGTGCCTTGTCCAAGCCTGTCCATAACAAGGTACCTCTCATTCTCAATTTCTAAGTCCATGATGGCCATTTCTAATATAATTTTACAAGTAGATCAACAAATAACATGCCAATAGGGGTTTTGGGGTTTTGGGGTTTTGGGGTTTTGGGGTTTTGGGG